GGAGCATACAGATTGCGCGGGAAGGTAACGGCGACCGCCCGGCAAAAGAGGTACGGTAAGCTTTTTTGAGAGTTTATCTTCATTTAAATTTCGGCAGTAATTTTGTTATGGTGCAGCTCAATGTAAAATTTTCATCCAGTTGTCTAAATAAGTTTGTTGCGTGCAAGTATTTCAAGCCAGGCTTGCATCCTCGAGCGAACTGTGTTCTCCAAGATATCATGTTTCTGCCCGAACAAGAACTGCTTTCCTTAATAATTATTATCTTGATCCTTTTTACCAAAATCATGATCTAGTTCATTTCTTTCTAAAGTTTCGAAGGCCTTTACCTGCGCGCGAGGAGCGCTTTTAAATCACTTGATTTTATAAGCTTAAAGGTCTGCTGCTCATCACATTATTCTACAAGCGAAAGATTGAGCGAATGTTTTTTATCATTTCGAATAATTGTCCACCATATGGAATATGTTCAAGGCTGTTCTTTACCTTTTTTAGTGCGGGATCATGATCAGATCACTTATCGCATTTAGTTTTGCAGTATTGACCCCCCAAATTATGACCCCCGTTATAGCGGTCGACATATTTATTAACGTCAACTGGACGTTTAGACAAGGGGGTTAAGGTATTGGAAGGCATTGGAAGTTAGTGCGGGGCATTTCTGGACGAAAGCAAACTGACGCATTTTCATAGATTTTGCATCATATGTAGAATGGTGCTCGTGACATTTTTCAAGAGAAAGCAGGACCAATAAATTAAAGTGCATGTCAGTATTCCTTCTGGAATGCAGTGACCTTAGGGCAGCAAAATCTCAAGAGGACGTTAAGAGTGGCAGAAGGTGGGGGGGGGGGGGTTGGGGTCTGACCTAAATGGCCAGTTGACGTTAAGTGGGGAAAAAGTGAATATGTCGACGGCCCCTTCATTAACTCACATTTTTTGATGCAGAGATTAACCAATCAGAAGTCAAAGACGGTTTCCAGCTGTCTTCTGATTGGATTAAGTCTGCACGAAAGAATGTAAATAAATCAAAAGCAGTAACACTTATGGGCTCCTTGCTGTAAGACTTACTACAAGTACTGTTAATGTTGTGTAGTTCCTTTGTAAAGATGTTTAGTTTTGCTTCAAATGCAACCTTGTGCCCACATAGTTTCAACTTAAGATTTTAATTTAAAAGATTGTTTTTCATTATTGTTTTTCAATTAGTTAGCAACAAATTCGAGGAATTTTTGCTTAAGAAAATATTTTAGTGACTTGTGCTTGAACACCAGAGTTATTTTTTTCTTTTAACAGTCCCCTTAAAAGACTGATTGCAACAATTCTCCACCTTAAAGCATGGCCTGAAGGGCATGGCCAGCAGAGAAAATGGTTACAGGTAAATGTTAACCATGGATAAAATAACGCTATTGAGCTTGTGTATGGGTATCTGTAGAGTCAATTTCATTGTGCGTATTCCATCAAATTGTTGGTTTTTCAAGCAAAATCGTTGCTTATCAAGAATATTGTTTTACGTGGTAACGCTACTAGCAAGTTCAGCGTAACCATAACATCAACAGAAATGAAAAATAAGCAATACAAAAACTGTAAACATACAGCACAACTCTTTGCAGGTTTCTTTTCACTGTCATTGTGCTTCTTACTTTGTCAATATTGTTTGAAATGGCATTGCAAAGATCGTTGCTTCATCAATGGCAATGGTATTAGTGACTTTGAGTTAGTCAGAAATACCCATACAGAGGCTCACTATTCTTTGTAAAAACCTGACTTGGGACATAGCAGGGAATTTAACTTTTGGGCTAGTATTAAAACACCCAAGTTTTCTTTTTCCCCAGGGAAAGAAGTTTGTTGAAAGCCCTGTGTAGCATGTACATTTGAATAGTAAGGCAAAGTACTTCAGAACAAGATAAACACAACTCGGTTCAGATTTTCTTGATGGTCCCATCTTTAATTGTTTCAAAGGGGCACAGAACCAAAATATGTAACTTAAAATGAAGCCAAATCAAGGAAATAGAAAAAGCTACAACTTTACTGCAGACAGAGCTGTTGCATTTTGTTAAAATGTACTGTCATAATAGGTGCCATTTGCCATGGTCATTTTCGCTGGAAGTATGACACAAACCTGACTCTGTTTGATGTATTAAAAATGTACTTATCCAGTTCCATTATCCCCTTAAATGGTTGCTTTATTAGGGTCCTAAATAATTTTGTTGCCCGTGGGTAATACTATACCCCTGTGTTAAAAGGTTGTGCTTTCATAAATGTGCAGGTTCAGATCACGTTTGTTGTATCTTTACTAAAAGGCATCCAGGCAGATGTCTTCTATCCGCTTGTTTTATGTGTCAAGCGGAGATAGCAACAACTGGAAATATGTCTGTTTTTGCAGGCTAAACAAACGGTAAACTTTACCAAGATAATCACATGATGAGCGAATCCGTACAAAGAGATGAGGTGCTATCATGCCCAGCAACAATTCAGGTATTTTTAGCAAGTAAACCAGTTTTGCTGGAAAAAAACAAGTTTTGAAGTTAGTTGAGGGGCTTAAAATTTTGCTTTCTGCGCATGCCTGAACTTAGTAAGCTAATATTTTGCATCTGGATCAGAAGGCTGTGAAGTGTACGACCTGTAAACGGTTTTGTGGCAAGTTTTAGCCCTATGAAGCATTGCAGTGACCAGAAAACTGCTCAACTAGCCTCCAAACAAGTCTTTCGGCAAAATCTCCAGGGGCGAATGGGTTATTAAATCTGATCACAACCAAAATGTATCTGCATGAGCAGTTACAGTTGGTTCAGCGGTGAATGGGTTAATAATCAAGCCTTCTATGTTTTGGCTTTTTCTTACAGTGTACAGTAACATTTGATGGTTGGATCGCACAAGCCAGGGTGCGAAGAAAATCCGTTTGAACCTTGCCCTTCTGGTAAGTTGTTGTTGTTAACATTCGCTAGCTAGCCCATATGTCATTTACACTATTTTGTCATTAGTTTCATCATGCCAACTTTCTTATAGAATTTTGCCCAACTTCCTCTGATTTAGCAAACATTCTCTTGCTTTTTCCTTTAGAGGTAAAAATGTTCAATGATTTTGAGAGGGATGAAGGCACTTCCTTGGGGAAGAAAAGGTGCTGTGACTGGTTAGTTTTCTTTGTACCATGCCCCGCAACAAATCAGGTATTTTTAGCATTTGATATGCAATATGTGCCTTACATATCTTGGCTTTTTCTTGCTATGTACAGTGAAAAACAACAATGTGTCTAATTAGCAAAAAAGCAACTTTGCATGTGCAGCAGACTTTTTTTGTACATTTCTTTGCCGTTTTTTTGCATGACTACAACGTGAAACTTCCAGAAACTTCTTAGTTACATGTTGTATGGAGGAAATGTCGTACTTGTTCCTGTCACTTTTTTTTCACTGTTGCTTATTTCACCTTGCATTGGTGGCCACTAGCATTTCGTATTTTCTCACCGCTGCTACAAAATTGTCATGTTGTTCTTCCAACAAAAAAATGTCTCCTTTGTTATCTCTTGCTCTAGATATCTTTCCCCTTTTTCTCGTTTCATTTCGCTGCCCTGCCGCGTACTCTCTCTTTTTCTCTGTCGTTCTCACTCTATTTTCCAAATTTGTGGACATGCAATTAATCTAAGCTTAATACTTCAGACAACATGGATACAGAAACAATTTCCGCTTTCTGTTTTCGTCTTTATTGACTCTTAAGTTGTCTCTGCTTTACAAGACTTGGGTGGCTATGCGATTTCCCGCCAAGATAACCTCAAGTTGCATTTGGGTTGCCCTACCCGTTGATTTAGTTATTTTACATTGGTATGCCTGTGGTGCAGACGGACGGTCGGTTGCTTGGGCGGGCAGTCGTTGGGTGGGTGTATGGTCATGTGATTACCAAATTTTCTGATATGGGTAGATTTACTTAGCAGCGGGGCTCTGCCTACGCGTGCACGCGAAGCACTTAGGTGGGGCTACTCTAAAAATCTTTCACGCTGAATTTCGGAAACTTAAATTGACAATTCCCTAAACTATTGTTTCTAAAATGAACTTTATAAAATATCTTACTGGGCTACATTATATACAACCTGCCATCACAACTGGAAAAATGACACGTCCCTTTCATAAATATTAACTTGTCAAATCTCCATAAATGTATCGATATAATTCAATTCATTTAGTAGCCAAGGATGAAAAAGTCATAGCACGTAATGACTTGATCGGGATGAGTAATCATACAAACATCCAAGTTAGAGGCTCCTTGGTAAACAAACGTAAACCTAAAACTACAAAATAGTAACAAGTTGTGTTATTCCAGCAACTGCTAGAATGAATTTTTGTTTGTTTCAGCATCTACCCGAGTTGTCTGAACTATATTTAATGCAATTTTATTTCCAAGTCATTGCTTAATGGATTTAGTGTTCCAGCACCACATGTACCTTACTAAAATTAAACAACATTAATTGCAATTTCTGCCAACATCTGAAACACTTGAATTCGCTGCATGATAAAGCTAAGTAAGAGCACATGGAATCAGAAAAGTACGGAATGTTGTGAGCCCGCACTATGCCTTTTTAGCAAAAGGCATATTTCAATCCACAATATACGTCACTTTTGGAAAATCCAAGATGGCCGACATTGACATGTTCACTTCGTAGAATTCGTGACAATTTTGTTACAAACCTTGGTCATTCATACTGATTCATCCACCTTCAGCCTTTATTTAATCTCACCATACACCAACGTAGTGACTAACTTTTGAATCTTGGTTGCCAGCACGGTAAACTTAGGCGTATTGGCGACTGTATCAGGCGCAATTTCGTGTCCTGAACATCCTGGATCTATAAATGAATGTTAAGCAACTGTTGTCTGTGTTAAAAGAAATGGTACAGTTTTTTTAAGTACATCAGTATACACCTGCTTCCAGCAAGCAACTTATTTTAAATAATATAAAATGTACAACACTTTCTATATTTATCTGTAAACAATGCAACCTTTTTGCCAAAACTTATATTCCAATCAAAGTTCACATTATAAACAGAATCCTTTGTTTTGTAAGTAGTTGATAATCATATTGAATTGAAGATTTTTTATTGATAGATTAAGGCAAACACTTGCAGACACATGTGCAAGTTCACGATGCAATAAAAGAAAAATTATTTATAAGAACACAAGTTTTCTTACAAACATGAAAGTAAATAAAGTTAAAATGGTATCTGTTTACAAAACACAGCTTGAAGCACTCCATACAATTGCATGGTTTTATGTAATCATGACCACGTTGACGTAATGATTGATCTGTATGTTTGGTTAGTAGAAGATCTCTCAAACACTGAGTATCTGTAATTTTCCCCCATAGTTGTTTATCCCAATCTCAAATCGTATCACTGATGGATATGCACTCTTTGGTATAACCATATTCCCTGCTTGCTTGTATAATAACTATTTATTGATCTTAGAGAGGTATTTACCCTCATAAGCGCATGCCCTTACTTCAGTTGCGTATTTCCAAACCTACATAATTAAGCTATGAATTAAGATCGTTAGCTCTTTTAAAGTGTATTTATAAAACTTACTTTAACTTTGAGGATATAGAGTCTTGAAATAGCCTTACTCATCATATAATGAAAATGAGTGTCCCAGTTGCATGGATTCTCATGAAGGGTTACTCCCAATAATTGAAGCTCACTCTTTCTTTAAGTAATAGGTATGGTCCCAGGGGGTTTTCTAGTCTTCCTCCTCATTACCAATTCTCCTGTCTTGGTTAGGTTTAATCTCATGCGATTCATACTTGCCCAAAGTTCAATGTTCTGAATTTCACCAACTGATGAGTCATCAGGCAAGTTTGGCCCAATTGGAATGATCAGGGGTGATGTCATCTGCAAACTTAACTTATACTTCCCTTCTAGAATGTTAACAGTTTGTCAACAGATTGTAAACTTAACCTTCAAATTGTTTAAGTGCCCAGGTAAAAACAGACCTCTCACCTTTTATGGCATTTCTCTGGTTATGAATCAGAAAACACAAACTTGGAACAAAACAAACCACCAATATTGAAATTGTTAAGCATCAAGCGACCTAATCAAGTTTAGACTCCTACAAGACTAAGGTAAACAAATAGCTCGCTTTTAAAAAATAGTGGAGTTTTTAAAAGTTTATCCAATTGTGAGGCATCAAACTGCCACAGTAATTATAGAAAATAATGTGAGAAAGCATTTTGATAAGGATACAGCATATGATGGCAAATTTGAATGACTTGCCCTTTATAAATGTCCAGAAACCATCTTGAGTAAATTACAGACAAGGGCAAATGTGTGGTGGCAAAAAGAAAAAAGGTAAGATTTAAACCCTGCTGAATTAACCTGATGATAAAAAGAAATAGCAAGCATGTTGGAACTTGGAATAACTGAGCTTTTAGCAGTGTTCTCCCTAAAATTTAGCTCAGCAGGTAAGTGACCATTCATAGCCAGCATCTGGGTGAAGTATCGTATGCTGTCAAACATTCAGAGTACTTCAGCATTAGTCCAGACATCCACTATGCTGGGCATGGGTTAGTAGCTGTAGGCCTGTGAATGTATGCTGTGGGAATCCATAACCTGCTTGACAACAACCCATGGGAAAATATTTTCGTGGTGGTTTGGCTTAGCTGACAACTGAGACAACTGAGTCAAAATGAAGAACACAGGGTACCAAGGGTCTGGAGGTGCAACTTTAGTTGCACCCAACAAGTATAGTGGTGAAGCTGTAGGCCTTATGTGCGTGTGTTATGGGAATACATAACCTGCTTGTCATAGACTCAACTCTTCCTGTTGTCTTCAGGGACATCGGGAATCATGTTGGTCTTGGGATCACAATTGATCTTGTGAGGGCTGTTGACCATGTGTTTGTGGAAATTCTTGGTATGATCCCACAGTTCCTTTGTGGCATGTTGAGACTGAAGCCACAGACATATCACTAGACCTAATCACCCTTGGGTGATAGGAGGAACTTTTGATCCAGCTGCATTAAAGTCCATGATTTGGTTCCTCTTTTACTCATCCATGTAGCCCTCCTGAAAACTGTCCATGGGCAGGTGTTCTTTGCATGGTTTGGCCTGACAGACAACTGAGTCTGTCAAAGGGAAGAATGTGGTAACCAGGTAATCAAGGATGCCATGGTGCAACTCAAGATTGGACCAACAAGTGGAAAAGGCTGGTACAGAGATACTTGCATTGTTCTAGACGCAGCCAACATCTGCCTTATGAGTGTTAGCAACCATCATTTTGTTCCTGGCTTGTTGGAAGTGGTGAATGACGCGACTGTTGTCCAAGAAATTATTGAAGAACTGTTAGGGGAGTTTGCAGGTAAAACTTGTGTCTTACTCTGTTGTTGCCCTCACTTTACCCCAAAGCCACTGAGCATGTACTAGTGAGCAAGCAAAGCCCTGGTTTGT